TGAGATTATGTATTCAAAACGTCATGGCAAGTAGCTAGTGAAGCATGGTGTGGTACATGGTGCTTATTATTATGGGATAAGTGACATTAGGTAATTTTATATTTTCTAATTTGATTTAGAACATTAATTAACCAAATAATGACATTTATACAAACTAATAACATTTTATATAATTGTTAACAATGTTATTGATCATACTAATTTAAATATTTTCTGAAAATATATGAACTCATTTGATGAAGGAACAATATAAAATAATATGAGAGTCAAAACTATTTTTTCCAGTGTTATATTATAAATCAATAACATATTTTTTAGATTTAATAATTATATTCCTGCATAGTATATAAAATGTAATATATATTTATAGTTGTGATTGTTTAATTATTTAGTTAATTATACCGTTTAACCAATTTAATGTAATACCTTCGTTAATACTTACTGCAACTTAATTATCGTTGTTAATTTTATTAATATATTAATAAGATAAATTTTTAATATTATTAAATTAAATATCATTTGTTAGATATAGTAAATTTATAATATTTTTATAAAATAGCAAATTTTACTTTGTTAATAAAATTTAAAATTAAAATTTTTTAAATAAAATATAAAAATTTTAACTATCATATTACTCTATTATTAAAATTATTAATACCGAACTAATAATAATATCACATATTCTCGAACTAGTATTTGTAACTTGGTTATCTATGGCGGATCATATCTCTTTGAAGCCATCTAATTTATATATTATTAATTAGTAGATATTATAATCCATATATCTATATCTTTCTATATATGTACGTATTATATCTGTTCTCTTTAAAAAAAAAAAATAAGAAGGCAAGATCATTGGTTCACCACATGATGAGCATATTTTCTATTATACATATAAATATATATAACAAATACAAAATTACAGAAACAACTAGATGTATATGAAGCTAGCTTTTTATAAATATAAATATGAATATACATATACATTTCCCCATATGACGAACTTAAATTGGACTTCTATTAACTCCTGCCTTTTCTTTTCCCTATCTCTTACTTCCTCGCTTTTGAACCTCAGAGAAATTAATTAAATAAAGCTGACTGAGTATTAGAATATTAAAACCCAATAAAATAAAATTAAAAAAAAAAAGCAGCCATCCACAACATATAATAATTAATTTATTAACCCAACAGAAAAAGCAAAAAGCAAATAATTATTGTCTGTGAAACCCAAACGATGCGAACAAAAATGAAAGAACAAACAAATCTAAGAGATCTCAACACAAATTGTGGTTCACAGCAAACCTCTCTCTTTCCACTTGCCAAGCTTTTAAAGCTACCAAAAACCAGAACCAACCCATTGATAACACTCTTCTTGTCCCTTCTCTTCCCCCTCCGAGACGAGTTTTATTTCAATCATAATCCATTTTCATGCATTATAATTATCACTGTTGTTCTTATTCTTGTTATTGTTGTATCATCGTATAACACTTTGGGTGTATTGTATCTCTTTCGCTTAATTACACTCTGTGTTTGGATTCATGCTAGCCGTGTCTCCATTGAGGAACACAACCAATGATGAGAAGCAAAGAGAGGTGGAGACTTTCACCATTAACCCACAAGACTTCCCCGAGTTCGCAGATCATGGATCCTTGCTCGACTCCATCGATTTCGACGACTTGTTTGTCGGAATCGACGACGGCGATGTCCTCCCCGATTTGGAGATGGACCCAGATATCCTCGCAGATTTCTCGATCAGCGCCGGTGAAGAATCCGAGATTAACACATCCCCATCTCCAGACAAAGTTGAAGATACAACAACAACAACAACAACTACTAGTAGTAGTATTACTACCCAGATAGCTCGGGAGGGCGATAAGGGTTTCTCAACTGGTTCATGTAATAAAGGAGAGGAGAGTGTGAGCAGTAAGAGAGATAAGAAGGAGAGTACTGGAGTTAAAACAGTCGTGCAGCCGTCTAACAAGGATGGTGATAGGGGAAGGAAATCATCGGCAGCGGCACAAACCAAGAATGCTAATAATAATCAAGCGAAGCGAAAAGTTAAGGTAGATTTTTTCGAGTACTACCACGTTAATTAGTTACTACTTGTTTAGTATTTAATCATCCGATGAAGTTCCTCTCTGTCTTGTTCAAAACACACGAGCACACACAATTATGGGTGTCTGATGAATTTTCCGGAAAAAGTATATATTGATTTGATTTTGTACGGGAAAGGGAGAGAAATAAAGGGAGACGAGGGTGGCATATTTGTAAATATGATGAATGAGAGTTTCTTGGGGTATGTGTAGGTGGAATTGGACACCTGAGTTGCACAGGA